CGCCTAGTCCCCTCTCCCCTCTGGATGCCAGTTTAACACTCCCCTGGACAAGGAAACCTGCTGGAATTAGGGTCCTACATAAAGATGCCTAGGACAGGAGATAAATCTTACCAGCCCTCCTGGAAGTAGGAGGAAGAAAGTCTAGAATGAGAACTTTCGCTTGCTGGCTTCTCTCCGGTGTCTAAAGTAGTCTTACTTGGATTGGGGGAGGGAAGGACCTGGAGGTTCCAGCATCTAAATTCAGCCCTGGGTCAGGATGACTCAGGGGGAACCTGATAAGGGGCCTACCCAGGGGCGTGGGGCCTACCCTGAGGTGGGAAATTTCCACTGGGGTCTGTTTACTTCCTAGGCCTAGGGGTCTCAACCTGCTGCATACAGAAATGAGGCTGCTTCTGCCCTAAGAGAGGGTTCCTCTCTGTCAGGGCAGTTCCCAGCCCAGCCCTGGGGGAAGTGGCCCAACAAGGATAACAGCTCTCTCTAATTTCCTTCTCTTGGGCCAGAAGCAGCTTCAAACTGTACCTTCAACTAAGTGACAGTTTTATGTACCTACTATGTGCAAGCCACTGGATGGATGGAATGCAAAGAAGTGTGAAGTCTAGTCATACCCTCTCTAGAAGCTTATAATGGAATAGTTGAGAGATAAAGATAGAAAAAGTTTGCCCGGCCGGCATGGTTCAGTGGTTGAGCATCGAACTATGAACCAGGAGGTCACAGTTCGGTATGCCTGGGTTGTGGGTTCAACCTTCAGTGGGGGGCATGCAGGAGGCAGCCAATAAGTGATTCTGTCTCATCATTGATGTTTCTATCTCTCTCCTTACCCTCTCACCTTCCTCTCTGAAATCAATATTTTTTAAATAGAAAAAGTTTAAAATATATATAAAATTATTTAAACAATAAGTCCTATGGCAGTAGTTTCTCACCCTTCTCAAGTGGGAGGTCAGAGATTTCCATTCCCACATGACAGTTGTAGTATCCCCTGATGGAAAGAAACCATGAATTCAGCAATACTTTCAGGTAAGTTTGTACAGTATTCTAATAATCACATCTTTTTATATAGTAACTAGAGGCCCAGTGCACGAATTCAGGGCAGACCAATCGGGGTGGGCCGACTGGGGGTGGGGCCATGGGTGGTTGGTGGGCTAGCCCCACCCCCTGGTTGAACTCCCAGTTGATCTCCTGGTCGAGGGGACAATTTGCATATTAGCCTTTTATTATATAGGACTAGAGGCCCGGCACAAATTC